GACGGGGTCCCCCTGTTCCCCAACCTCCAGATCACCTGCTCTATTTCTCACCAGGTGGAGGCCAAGAAGGATGAGAACTGGCATGGTACCGGTGAGTGGAGTACGGGGCGAGGTCTAAAAGACAAGGTGGAAAGCCCTACAAGAGTTGCTGCTCTGCAGAGGAAGTAGAGCCCCTCATTACACCCGAAATAGGAGAGAGTTTACAAATACAGAAGCAAGGCCCATTGTCTGTCAATATGTAGGCTAATCGGTTCTTATCCCTTTCTGCTCCTCCCTGTACTTTTTCTATCCACGCCGTTCCTTTGCCTCACCCTCTCCTCCTTCTTTCCCAGGCTGCTCATTCCTAATCCCTTTTACATTTTACCTACATTTCCCCTGACCGAATCCAGCACTGGATGGATGTCCTGCCTGTTACTCTCTCCACACCTGCGCTTACTCAGCCTCCTCCTGCTTCCTTCTCTCCTGCTTTCCTTATTTCTCACCCCCTCCCATCTCTTCCTGCATCACTTACTCCTGTGAATTCCCCAGTCGGTTTCCTACCACCCTATGACACCATGTCCCTCAATTTCTCTCCATCACCCTCAGATTATTTCTCTGCACTCTGGGCTCTACATGTCCTTTCACTTCTTTCATATCTCTTCCGGTAATGGGATTTTTTGCTCATAGCTTTCTGTTTAGCAGCTTTGCCTTTCCTTGTAAAAGGATGAGTTTCTTGACATAGAGCAGGTTGGTCTTAGTGCTGCTGAAAGTAGTTAGTCATGGAATGTGGTTGTCATTTTAAAGAAGATGAGATCTCAGCCATGGTAACCAGCAGTCATGAGGCAGGGGAAAGCTTTCAAAAGCACTCAGGGTCTGGGAACGTGTGATAGTGTTGTTCCCAATTTGCACATTGTCATTGTCAACAGAGTCCTTACAGCCAAGATGTGTTATCGTGAACCAGTCTGATAATAGCATGTTGTTCCAAAATAAAGTGACTTTATTATGCACATAAATAATGTCGTTAGAACCAGGGGGACTCCTCCAACAAGTAATTAGACTGACTGATTTTACTCAAGGTCAGTGCTAGCCAGAGAAAGAGAAGTCATTACGTAGGATGTGAGCGCTTTTAAGTAAGTGGGTACCACTCTGTGTAACTCCTGCCTTCACTGACGGCTGTCTGGCTTTCTGGCCCTGTCTTCTTTCCGTTCACGTCTCAGTGACAGACACACGAATGTCAGATGAGATTGTGCACAACCTGGATGGCTGCGAGATCTCGTTGGTAGGAGACGACTTGGACCCGGAGAGGGAGTATCTGCTCCTGGACGGGGCACTGCTGCAGCAGCGGGGCCTGGAGCTTGTGAACACCTCTGCCTACCTGACCATCACAGGTACGTCCTCTCCTTGGCCACAGCGGTCGAATTACGCCTCGCCCGCGGCCTGTCAGGCATCGCTGGGAGAAGCACTTAACCTGCTGTTAGAGATGTGTTGGTGTACTTTGTGAGACTCTGAGGTGTAACCGTTTGTTGAACTCCCGGCTTTTGGAAGTCCCAGGCCATTTCCCTGGGGAGGTGAGTCCTCCTCCAGCCCGCAGTACTACGGCATGGTGTCTGAGCTCTCACCCAGGCTCGTATCGCTCCTCCTGACTTACTCCGTGGGGTTTGGTGTTGTCGGGAGCCAGCAGCATTTTGCGTGACGTGGCTGGGGGACAGCACACTCGACAGGTGGTGGACTGGTACAACACTGTTGTACTCTCCAGAACTTAACAGGGCTGCTGCTCTTGATCCTTCCATCCCTTCCATTTGTTCTAGCAATGCAAGCAGGGATTTCATCATGTCCTTTGCAGCCAGCTCCATCTCTGCTCCCTTCCTAAAATTAATGAACCCAGCATTGCCTTGGATTCCTCTATAGCTCCTAGTTGCTACGGGGTTATGATGCCAGATGACTTTGAAGCAGGAGCTTCCTCACCCCACGCCAATGTCTCTTCTTGTCTCAGGTGTGGAGAGCATTGCAGTTTACGAGGAAATACTGCGCCAGGTCTCATACCACATCAACCACGGGGCTGCTCTTTATGAAAGGAAGTTTCACCTGTCCTGCACTGAGATGAACGGACGCTACTCCAGCAATGAGTTTACTGTTGAGGTACGAGATAAATACATGCACACATAGGTGCTTCTACATGCATGAAGAGGACATGGTGGACGGGAATGCACACAATATGTAGAATATACCTTGAACACAGGGCTGAGTCTCTCTCGCTTTGCTCTTTCTGCAGGTGAATGTCCTCCACAACATGAACCGAGCTGCTCATCCTAACCATATTCTGAGCTCCCAGCAGTTCATGCACCGTGGCCATCATTTACCCCCAGAGCTGTCTGGGCACAGTTTGGCAAGCGGCCCTAACAACCCAAGTAAGTAACACTATCTTCTGGGTTTATTCCTTTCGGTCAGGATGCTGATTTTATGATATCCTGGTAGAACCTATAGCAGAGGATTCCTTTCAGGCTCCCTATACCCATGTTACCGAGTTCTCGTTATACTGTCCTGTCCTACTCATCATTAGCAAATGGACTGCAGTCTGTGTCAAACTGTGTTTGAGAGCTTGGCGCAACAATCCTCCTCTTTTGCTGTGTTGTTTTCTTGACATAGAGGCAGCCTGAAATCTACACCTGAGAAGGTTTAAAAAGAACAACCGTAAGCTGGTACCATTTAATTTGTGCACCTTGCAAAGGTGCTGTGCGGGCTTGGGGGTAATGTAATTTCAGAAAGAAGTTTCAAGAGCATGAGAGAAACAAGAGAATCAAGACTGCCACTGATCTAAAAAAAAAAAAAAAAAGAGATGGGACTAGGTGGTGGTCAGCAAGGCAGAAAAATGTAGGAGACAGCACCACGCAGACAAGAGGAGCATTCTTGCCCCCCAAAACGGAGGAGAGAGAAGCTTGAAAACCAGACTAGAGATTAGATTTGTTGGTTTGCGCTGGCAGCCCTGTGCCACAAGTGTGACCGCAGTCCAGCTGGCTCCTCCTAGGCTGTGAGAGCTCTAGGACTGTTACAGAAGAGCCTGCGTTGATTTTTTTGTCCCGTTGTAGGGAACATGGAAAGCACCTTTGGTGCTAGCTTTTGCTGCAGCTTCCTGCAGCAGCTGATCCCCAGCTGGTCCAGTCCTGCAGCCGGTCCTGAGCCACCGCAGGGACAGCCTACGGATGTGCTGGGAGACCACCAAACCCCAGACTTTGCCGGTCCCTTTCCCAGCTCTGCCTGATGGCAGCAGCAAAGGAAAAGTTGTCCCTGCTGTACAGAACCACCCAGAACAAATCCACGGAGGGCCCAGATAGATTTTGCAGGGAAGGAGGTTATCTGGGGAGTCCAGGCTCAGCCTACAGGCCTAGAGCAAAGGAGTGGGAGTTGGGCTGAGGGTCTTAGATGAATTTCAAGTTTTCTCCTGTGGAGAAGCCAGGCTTTGGCTGTGGCACTAATTAGAAGGCCATCACAGCCCTCACCTCTGCCCCATATGCAAACCAGACTTCTTTTGGCTTCCTTCTTTCTCTACTGCTTGCATAGAAATCACACCCTGGGAAAATCATCCTTGTGCCCTTAGAGGCTCTCCCCAGCCCACATTTCTCCCTCCTAAGAGGGGGATACAAATGGCTGCTGCGCAACAATATTCCAGCGACCTCTGTAAACCAAAGATGTGCAGAGTCTACAGACCAGGCTGACATCGGAGCACGCCTGGACCCAGGCATCCTGGAAAACCAGGCAGGCCTCCAGCAAAGATACAGCAGCTGAAGGCAGGACCTGCCTGTGCCCAGGGGAGCGGAAAAGTCAGGACGCATTCCTGCCTAGACCAAAAACCCAAGCGCTGCCCAGGAACCCCACTTCCCACAGGTCAGGTTGGAAATGCCCATTTCTGTGGCAGGCTCTAACCACACCTTCTCATTTTCTTTCTCCAAAGTGGTCCCCAGCGCTGCCACCGTCATCATTGTGGTGTGCGTGGGCTTCCTGGCGCTCATGGTGATCCTCGGCATCCTGCGCATCCACTCCCTGCACCGGCGGGGAGTGGGGCAAGAGGTCCCTGGGGCTGCTGAAGGGGAGCATGCAAGCACCGGAGGCAAAGAGCGTGACATGTTCTGGGATGACTCGGCCCTCACCATCATAGTCAACCCCATGGAGGTGAGGAGCAGCCACAGCGGCTGGGGCTGGGTGGGCAGCCGGGGTGCCAGATCCTTCCCCTCACCCCATCTCTCACCTCCCCAGTCCTACCAGAGCTGCCAGGACAGGGCAGCAGAAAGTGGCGAGGGCAGAGCTAGCGAGGGGATGGAGGACGAAGATGACAGCACCGACTCGGAGACACCCGACTCCCCGGACAGCAATGACATGGATGACCGACACATCATCGGCAAAAGTGACGGCTCTCACCGCTACTAGGAGCTTTAAAACACCAGTCCAATGGATTCCCCCAAAACATATGGCTGGAAGGAGGAGGTGTCTTACTTTTAACTTCTTCCTTCCCCCCACCGTGTACACATGCGCTCCTCCCTCATTTGTCATTTCTGCCTCCCATGTTCCTTCATCTTCTGCCATTCTCATTGTGGACATTCCCCACGTTATTGACCCCCCATCTGGCTCTCTAGAAACATGTGTTAGGGCACTTGCACATGACAGTGGCACAGTTCAAACCATGACGAGGAAGGAGGGGCTTGGAAAGAACAGAAATTTGGAAGGAGGAGCCAGCCATAGGGCTCAGAGTGGGGTCTCTCACAACCCTGCCCCAGATATTATATATATATATTGTATATTTTTTCAATGTTGTCGTTTGAGGTTTATTCTCGTTTCATGCAAAAAACCCCCACTGCAGCTTGTGTCGCTTTGTAAAATTGTCGATACTCCTAAACTAAATGAATGAAGGTAAGAAGGACGAGGAAACAAAGTGGATTTTAAAATAAATGGATTTCAAATAAAATGCTCAGGGCTTCTGCAGTTTTTCACCACAAGCAGGGAAGGAAACAGTCAGTGTAGCCTCTAGTGAGAGACTGGAGATTATCCAGAGCATGTATTTACTGAAATGACTGCCTTATCTCGGGGAAGGGTTACATTTTTTAGTATATGTGTTGGAACAAGAAAAACACATCACCCCACACCCTACCCCAGCCTTTCTGAGAGTCAAAATACTCTTTGTAAACACAATGTAGCCATCCCCAGGACACTGGGCTAGGAACCCACAGAGGAACAGAAAGCATCCCAGCCTGTCACAGGCAAGTGTAACAAACACATGCAGCAAACTGAATTCTTGATTACAGAAAAAAAACCAAGGCTCTTTCCATACACTTGGTGTATCATCAATATAAACAGGCCAAATCCTCAGCTTCATCCATCTTTTCACCTGATCCACTTTCTTTACCAGCATAAAAAAAAAGAGTATTTTTCACACCAGGGGTTCCAGCTTGCAGCAGAACAGCCCCAGCACTTCTGAGGGAAGGAGGTGTCCTCCTCTCTTTGGTGGGAATGGGGGTCATAGAAACACAACAGGTATTAGCAAAGCATGGCTATGAGCCCAGCAGCATGAGTTGTTAGGACAGTGCTTCATAGCAAGTTGTGCTCCTTCCCTTCATCTACTTGGTCTGATTACTCAGACCCTGCAAGACAAAAAGAGTGGCTGCAACATGTTAAAGAGCCACAGGAAGATTCTGCAATAGGACATTTGCTGGCAGCCAAGGCTGAGAAATCCTCCTTAAGGGTAGGAAGGTAGCACAGCAGGTGAGTGGAAGAGCCCCTCGGAGGGCAAGAAAGGTCTCAGCACAAGATCTCTGCTTGCTGCAGTTCTCTCAGATGTCTCAGCTCTAGCCTGCCTTTGTGTCCAACTGTGCCCATGTATGGTTGTTACTGGGTCTAAAAAAGAAGTGAACATGCTGAGGCTGTCTTAGATACTCTTATGCTTTCTCCTTTGTCTCCTTCCCAGTAAGTTCCATGCCCTTGTTTCACACAGGGAACTTACAGCAGGCACTGTCAAACCAGTGCCCTGACATCTCAAAGCACCAGCATAATTCAAGTGTCCAAAAAGAAGAAAGGCTACACTGTGCACATTGGAGCCAAAAACTTGGCACAAAATAGTCTTATGTCCTGAGAATTCTATGCCTGACCCACTTCTGATATGTGATGAAAAGCACCACCTCTTGAAGCATGGAAAAAGACTGTCTCAGGACCATGAGGTCCCTGAATCTTTACAGCAGCCTTAAGCCAGGTGCTAGTGTGCTTACAAGGTGGAAGAGGCCAAATGTACGATGAGTTCATAGGTAGCCATCATGATGGCTGTGTTTGGGATCTGGCGGATCAAGTGAGCCAGGAGCCCTCGGTATAAAGCCAAGGGTCCCTCTTCATGGACCACAAGCTGCAGAGTCTGTATAAAGGAACGGTATCGTGACCCTTCTTCTCGCAACCGTGTCCGAATGACCTCTGGAGAGAGAAAGGAAAGTAATATTAGCAGATTGATCCTACAGGCATGGCATCTCCCATCGAGGGGAACAGAGGGAAGGAGAGTGGACCCACTCACCGTGTGGATATGCAATGCATGAAGCACATGTTTTGGAGACAGCAGCAGCTCCCATTAGGCCAAAGAAATCATGGCTGTTTGGTGAAAGTGTGAGCGGTGGTGAAAGGGAACGATGGCTGTTTCTCAGCTGCTGTTTCAGTGCTTCATAGATGACAAAGTGTATGATGGTCTCTGACACTCCAGCATAGGAGGCAGTGATACCACGGTAAAATCCACGAAGGCCTTCAGTGCGGTACACACGCATGGCACACTGGACAGCATTGCTGGCCATCTCCCCCTTCACCCTGTAAAGAGGAGGGAGGATTGAAACAGCATACTGTTCCACTGACCTAAAATGCTGCTGGGACCACAACTGTATGACTCTTCCCCAGCATGCCTTGAAGACCTATGTTCTGATGGCAAGTCACAGACCCCTACCCAACCCCACCCCCAAACCAGTCCCGATTTGACACAGAGTGGTTCTGCATTGCTAGCTGGCCTTACCTGGCTTCCAGCTGCATCCTGGTTTTCACTAACCAGATAGGGTTTGTGAGTGTGGCAGAGGTAATGCCTGGAGAATAGAAGAGGAAGATAGCCATGAGCACCAGGATCACGCTGACAGTTTGTGAGGAGGTGCTATCTATCAGCTGTCTGAATTCTGCTTGGCAAGCTGCAGGCATTTGCAGTTTTAGAATGACCTTGGGAGAAGAGACATTTAGGGCAGACTATTTGATTCTCGTCCTCCCCCATTCCAGCCTTTGTCTGGTGGTAATTAGCTCCTCTGCCTCCAACATAACCCCACTACAGGCCCTGGTGTTACACAAACGCAGGAAACAATGGGCTAAACTTGCAAGAGTGGAAGATTTTGTTAAGAGAACTGGGATGTATCAAGAGAAATGATTCTGTGAGTGGTCTAAATTACACACTGCCTTCTGCCTCTCACAGCTGAATAGACCTCTTTTCCTGATGGGATAAAGACTAGATCCATGACTTGGAAGAGATGAGCCTAAGAAGAACGAAGAGTGAGAAAACGTTTTGGTTACCCAAGGAACTCACTGCTCCAGATATGGAGGGAGAAAATTTCAGAAGAGAGACAGCAGGACTGATGGAAGCAGCAATGGAGAAGGAATGAAACCCGTTTACACTTACAGACAGAAGGACCCCTTGGCTCTGATTTGAGACAGAAGAGGCTCACCTGCACAGGCTGCTGATAGCATGTGTACTTTCTTGGACTCCGGTACAAGGACAGCATTGAGTCTCTCCTTAACACCAGAATAGGCAGCAAAATATATAGCCCTGTTGGAAAGAAATACAAAAGAGGTTACAGCTCACCTGTGAGAAGCAGAGACAGCACTGCTGTGGGGTCTCACTCCAACTTTTCTTACTGCCAGCATAGGCTGGTCTAATGTGACATCAGATACCATTTATACTAGGCCCACAGCAATCACCTTATCTTACAACTATGATCACAAGGTCCAGAAAATGTCTGTGTGAAGGGGTCCAGTGGCACAATGAGCACAAGGCCCAGACTGCTTTCAGAATGTGGAGCAATAGCTGTCATGGAGGTCCTTTAAAAAGAGTACAGCATGAGCTATCCTCAGGGAGCAGTACTCACCGGGAAGGAGCAACCCCAACAAGGTTTGGACCCAGACCTCGGAACAGGGATCTCATGCCTTCCTTCTCAAGGATGTCCCTACAGGAGGAAATGAACAGAGAAATCAGCAAAATAACTAAGTGGGGGCTTTCTTGTTCCTTCTGCTTTTTTGTTCTTCAGTACTTCTTGTAGCACCCTCTCCTCACCTCCCGTGTTATGCTTTTTCTGCCCCATTTTCTCTCCAACCACTTCTCCTCTCCCCTTCAGTCATTTCTTCCTATTCTTGCTGACACCATCACTCTGGGTCTGATCAAACCACTAGCTGAGAAATTTCTCACAGTCCTAAAAGCTGCCTTGCAGACTCAGAGTTCAAAGCACAGATCAACTGTGAGAAGTAGATGTACCTGCGCTCTGACAAGACTTCCTACCGTACTTGCACTTTCCAGAGCCTCACCTCAAATGCTACTTCCATCTCTCCTGCCTCCCCCCCCCACCCCCGATGACCAAACCTTCACCTTCCTGGTGCTAACATGCACACCGTCCTATCCTACTCACCTCAGCAACTTGAGCACTCCAGGAGATGGTGAGCTGGGGTTCATCAGCCTCACACTCATTCCTGGCAGATGTATCTCCGAGAGGCACAGAGGTCGCAGTGTCAGCTGGGATGACTGTAGACGCGTCTTCACCACTTCCAGGGGACAGGTCAGGATGGCTCCAGCTGTGCCACCACATCTAGGGCATAACAGGACATGTAAGAATGACCCCTGTGCAGGAAGAGGGCAATAATTCTGACCCTGCTCGTCCACAACCTCTCCCCTCTAGGAGAGGAGGTTGGGTCCCCCAGCCTGCGTCACACATGACCTCCTGGCTCTGACACTGATTAACGCAATAGGGGCTTAGCTTGGGACATCTCCTGGCAGCCTCACTCTGAAACCTCACTCAGTATTTAAGACAAACAGTCCCAAGTCCATAGGGGCTCAGCAGTCCCTCAGCTCAAAGCTGCTGATCTTTGCATTCAGAATTTCCCAGAGCAAACACTTCTGCTGCCCAACCTCGCTGCAATGCCTTCTGCTGAGATCACCAGGCCCCGTGCCTCACACCTCCCCACAGCAGCACTGGCTCAGAGAGGGGCAGCACGGACCTCTCCCACCCCTCAGCCTGCTGGTGTCTTCGACCCATAACCCATTCAGCCCCACGTTTGCAAGGCCCTGTAAGCGAGATCTTTATTTTCTGACAACAGCCAGGCTCACCCCCAGCCTGACTTGCTTAATGAAAGAGGACCCTGACCTTCAGCAGACAGAAGCTATTTTTGGAACTCATGAACCATCACCATCAATCATTCTAGTCACACCTCAGTAATGCTGAAAGGACATGTATCTCCTTTTTCCCTTTCTGCCACTCAGGGACAAGTCAGAACCGACACGTTCGGTTCTCAGCTCCTGCCCCTTCAGATCCTTTGACTGACAACTCTGTTCTTCTAGAGGATGCTCAGTACCTGAAAGACTGTTTTGAGATGAATTTGCATGGAACAGCCATGCAAGAGGCTTTGATGAACAAGCAGTTGTTCATATCTGCTACAGCCAAACTCGCTTTGTTTCACAAGAGATGGAGGCTGAAAAAAAGCTCACTCTGCTCCAAAGAAAGAAAAGCCAGCCAAAGAACTACAAGATATCAGGGAAGAATCAAGTATATCAACAGAATTACATCTGACGGTACAGGAAAGCAAATGGCTAGAGTTCTGAAGAATTATTTTGAAGAAGTCTGTACAGCTCAGTGTACACATATATTGCTCTCACAGCCTTTGCTCCTAGGGCTTCATTTATTATTGCCTGCAGGTTTGGGGGGGGGGGGGGGGGGGGACAAAAGGG